CGCCACACCAGGACTCTGTGAGGCCATAATAGGCCTCAACACTGGAGGATGGAGGGCTTTTCAAACGCCATTTGCTCTGAAATTCTTCCTGGCCTTGTCTCTGCGAAAGAGAAGGGAAGAAGCTGGATTCCAAAGTGATCATTAGGAGGGAGCAAGCAGCCACCCTGCCTCTGCCTGCAGACACTGAGGGCCTTTGAGGGTACCTCCAAACTTACCTGCAGAGCTCCATTTACCACCCACTCAGGCCCAATGGCAGCTGAAACAGCGACACTAGGAAAGAGGAAGAAGGTGGAGAAAAAGGAGCATGCGTGTCCACCTCCCTTAAAGAGCACAATCCGAGTCTGACTGCTTTAGTTTTCCCCTCAGGGACTGGCAAAGCTGGCAGAGCCTTACAATTGGCTGAGGGGCTTGTTCCAAAGCCACATTCCCAGGCCCCACGAGGGATACTGAAGGGCTGGAGGAGGTGCAGCTGTCCACCAGGGAGACTCCCATTTCAAATGTTCTGTAGGACAGAATTCTGCCTGCCTGCCTGGCTTGGGGACTACTGACTGGTCCATTCTGGTCTCGTCACAGCAAAAGCACAGGAGATGTTTGCTGAATTGAAAAGAAATCTTCAATCCACTGGGCAGGATTCTGCTTTCTGTAAGGAATACAGAAAATAATCTGGACTCAACCCCCTACCAGTCAGAAGCTCTTCAAAATCAGGACACTACTCCTTTCTCTGGCTCCCTCCCCTAGGGGATACATGAGGCAGGCAGGGTCTGTTACTCACTGAAACCACCACCTGACACCCCACTAGGAGACCAGCAGCGTTCTAAGTGGTCTCTGATTTAGACTCGGTTACAATCCCAGCTACCTTGGCATGGCGCTAATCCTTCTGGAACTCAGAAATGGTGATGATAATCAAGGAACATACTCACAGGGGTTTTGGGAAGCTGGCAAGAGAGGATACATGTAAAGTACAGCATATGGTTGTTGTTGTTAGTGCCACTGAGCAGATTCCAACTCATAGTGATCCTGTATAGAGTTTCCAAGGTGGGTTTGAACTGTCAACCTTGTGGTTAGCAGTCCAGTGCTTATCCTACAGCATTACACCAGCATTGTTGTTGTTGGCTGCCCTCAAGTCAATTCTGAGTCAGAGTCCACTGAGTAGAACTGCCCCATAACGTTTCCTAGAGTTACTATGAGTCAGAACCAACTCAACAGCACTTAATAGCAACAACAGCCTTAGAGCAGATTACCGAGTTCCTCAGGTGGGTTCCAACTGCTGACCTTTTGGTTAGTAGTCAAGCTTAACACTGCACCACCAGAACTCCCTTCAATTAAAAACAAAAAATGAAGCAAAAAACCCCAAATCTGGTATTGTGGAGTCAATTCTGATTCATTGCGGCCCTATACATGGGTTCACTGGTGGGTTCAAACTGCTGGTGTTTGGGTTAGCAGGCAACCGCTTTAACCACTCTATCACTGGGGTACTTTCTTTCATTCAAATTTATTATTATTTCTATTCCAGTCCCAGAATCCTAACAACAGCACTTTGTTAAGTCTTCAGTGGGAGAAGAAGGGCCAGACATGTAAGTCCAATGTTTCAGAACACACTGGCCTGATTCATACAGTTGTTTTTTAATGTATGTGTCCGGACTTTCAGGCTCTTTTCCTAGCTCTGCTTTGGAGACAAAAACATTATGGACTCTGAGAGCCTCTGATCCAACTGAGGTCACCAGAAGTTAAGTCGCTTGGCCAAAGCCACACAAGGGGTTTGAAGACAGAGCAAGGAATAGAATCCAGAGTTCTTGTTTCCAGGACAACTGCTGTCTCACACCCCATGCCAGGCTGCCTGGGAGATGCAGAATGTGCTTGAAACCCCTTTAACTGGAAATGCTAGAAAGAGGTAAGGCTTTTGTGCTCTTCTCCCTTTCCTTTCCCCCAGTTGGGGTCACGGTCACATAATACCAAGGGCCAGAAATCTCTTTTATTTTTTCCATTTCTTTTTTTTTTGTGTCTTTGGCTCTGAATCTAGAAAAGAGTCTGGAGGAAAGAAAGACCAGCTCGCTGCATCTGGACAAGTTTGTGTGGTAGATGTTCTCCATCTAGTGGAAGGAGTGAAGAAGACAGAAAGAAAGCAGAAAATGGGATTTCCACCAACTAGCCCTGTAGTCCTGGTGTGGTGCTGTGGGCTAATGTATTGGACCCCAAAGTCGGCTTGCACCACAAGGTCAGAAGTGCAAGCTCAGCAGTTGCTCCTCATAAACCCTATATAGAGTCACTATGGGTTGCAACACAACAGCACTTAACAACATCCTGCTAGGCAAGGTTGCTCATGAGTTTGATGCTGTTGATGGACAGTCAGTATCCAATCTGCCCTCGTTCCACCCAGCCCTCCTCACCTCACCCAAATCTCAACCCTGGCAGATCCGGTCATAACTTAAAATTCAGATGTTTTGTTCATCTTTTTTTGCATTTAATTTTTAAATATAAATTAGCATGGCACTGTGGGCTAATGTACTAGACTGCAAAGTTGGTTTAAATCACAAGGTCGCCGGTTCAAGCTCACCAGCTGCTCCTTGAAAACCCTATGTAGGGTCATTTTGGGTTGGAACTGACTCAACAGCACTAAATGACAACAACAACATATTTATTACTAAGTTTCTTGTAGCCTCTTAAATTTTGTGCCCAAGGAGAGTACCCCATCTGCCCCTGTAGTCCCAGTCCTGGACAATGTCTCAGACAGATTGAGTCATCCCTCATTTCTTAGGTGAGCCATCTGAGGGCTAGCAAGGGGCAAGGCTGGCCTGTGAGGGCTATCCTTTCTGTGTTTACTGTGCTGATATGATCAGGCCTTGCTTACTCCAGAAGAAAGCATGTCTTATATGAGAAAAGACTCTGAGGTTGCAGTGGTTTTGTTGCACAAAGATACACTGGACTTTTGTTCTTCATCAGTGCCTATAACTATGAAGACTTAAAGATAAGCTCTGGTTGGTGAGACCCAAAGAAAACAGCCCAAGAGAGGAGGAAGGGCTGGTGCCCAAATGCATCTGTGAAGACCTCCTTGGAATCCCTTCCTATCTGGGCATGGTCCTAGGCATCATCTGTTGACCACCTTCATATGGTTCAACAAGGGGCAGACACCCTCAGAAGTGATGGAGGCAAAACTAACCCTAATCCTTGTTTCATCCATGTCACTCACTTCTGCCTCTCTCTCCACCACCCTCCCCCTCCACACACACACACCCAGCCCCTGTGAGAGACCTAGCTCTCCCACCTCACCACCTCCTACAACTCTGGACCACATCCAAGGAAGACAAGACTCCAAGGGTGGCTCTGCAAGGTCTCAGCCTCCATCTGCCACACTCTACTCAAAGAATCCCACCCCGCTCCACTGGGATACCATGGCAGGGAATCAAGGGAACATGGGCTTAAGTCAGACTCATAAGAGGAAAACAACAGGGCTTTGGGGTCCTAGCCATCGTGATTAGGCTGGCTTTATTACCAAGACGATGAAGGGTTAAGTTAACTGCTTTCACATGCCTATCCCCCAGGGGAAAGAAGTGACTTAAGACACTCCTAAAAAATAATAAAAGAAAAAAGAAGTGTTCACAGGCAGAGATGACCCTTGAATTCAGAAGCTGGTGCTTCCTACTGTGGTGCTGGGCAGGACCACACAACTGATTTGATTGGACCACAAGTCCCTCCTTGGGCAGGGCTGGGGCCTTCTCTTCAATTCACTCCAATCTTAATACCTTTTGTGGGCTGGCAAGAATGGAGTTATTTTAAATAAAGTCTGTCTCTCCATTTATGGAGGGGATCATTCCTTCTAGCACCACCCTATGCAGTGTTCCCTGTCCCTGTGACACTGCTGGCCCACCCTTTCCAGCTACAGGTGGGTCAGAGCAGCTGCCAGGAGCTGGGCTCCATCAGCAGGTTCCCTCTAGTGGTGGATCTGCAGGTCCTCTCAGTCCCAACCACTTGGTCCTGTGGCTCCTCTGACTCTCAGAACACTGAAAATGCCTGGAAACAGATCCATGTGTGTGAGACTCAGGCAGTGGTTTTCAGGCATGCATGGTGATATCCTGGTGTTTCTCAATGACTGACAAGTGGCCAGAAGGTGATTGATACCTAATAACAAAGTGCTCATTGCTATGTATGACTTGACTTTGATGCATATGAGTTAAGCAGGTTTCATGCTATCCTTATACTAATGCCATGCTTACTCTTACATTCAGATAAGCCATCCTGAGTAGAATAAACTCTTTGTCATGGCCTGTAAGCATCTGTATTTTCCACTCGTTGGGGATTCCTCCAGACATGATTCCTCATGGCTCTCTTCCTTTTTCTCACCTCACCCAGGCCCTCTGACCTTTAGTCAATTCCTCCCACAGGTTAAGTTCTTGTCTACTGCAAGGTCTTTTCACTTGCAGTTTCCTTTGCCAGGAGCCCCATTCTCTAGATTTCTTCAGGCTCCATCTCCTGCTTCGTGTCTTCCTGATACTGACATGGAAGAAAGAGGGTTTAAGGAGAGCCTGGGGGGCTAGAAATATTCTGAATCATGATCTGTGTGGCGTGTGCAAGGTATGTACGTGTGAAAAAAATACTGACCTGTCCACGTAAGACTTTCAGACTTTACTGTTTGTATGTAAGTAACCCGAAAGAAATAAAATCTAAAAACCATTTCAACCTCATCCCTGTTCCCTGCCATTCCTAGTACTCTCAACCATGGTGTAATGTTTTTGTTTTTTTTTTCCCCATGCAGGCACTTTTACCAATTCTATAATTATATTATTTCTTTACTCATAAACTGTCACCCCCCACTAGGTTATAAGCCCCATGAGGACAGTCAATGGATAGATGGATGGATGAATGAAAAAGCTTGGCTTTAATGATGGAGGGACACAAAGATAGAGGAGGTCAGCCTGAGCTAGAACCAGCACTCAGCAGCCTATGCCAGGCTCTGTAATCCCAAGTCCAGAAGCTTATTCCCTTCTAAAGGGTATAAGCTCCAACTAAACCTCATTGGGGTCGTCCTGATCAGCATAGATGAGGAAACCCGTGAAGAGGCTGTCAGTCCAGTAAGGATCATAAAAGAGCCCGTTCTGCTCTGAGTAGAAGATTTGCAGCCAGACCTCGTCACCCTGCTTGAGAGCCAGGATGGTGGAGCCAGAGGCCACATCATGGTTGCCCGTGTTAGCATCAAAGGTCCGGATGCGGTACTGGCCGTTGTGTACCAGGCCAATAGCCAGGTGCTTGTTGGCTAGTGTGATGTCATAGGTGAAGTAGTAGATCCCTGGCACGCTGCAGACAAACTTGCCGCTGGATGCATTGTAGTGGTCACCCTCGTTCATCAGAATCTTGTCAAACTTGATGGGCAGCCTCTCCCGTGGGTAGCTCTTGGTCACCGCCACTGAGAAAGCAGACTTGGCATGGCCACTGCCACAGCTGCAGGGGCCTGGGAGGCCTGGGTCCCCCTTCTTGCCCTTGGGTCCCTTCTTGCCAGGTATGCCATGCTTTCCTGGGGCACCACTGACCCCCTTGGGGCCGCGAGGGCCGGCCCGCCCAATGGCCCCGGCTTTGCCCTTTGGTCCTGGCTTTCCCCGGTTACCTGTTCGACCAGGTGCACCTAGAAGACAGAGCAGCTGGTGTTATGGAGGTGCTCAGAGGCCTGGGTAGAGGCTTCAAGCCTTGGCTTTCCATCCTTAGAGCAGGAGCCCTTGGATAATGGAAAGAACAGGAAGGTTTTGGAGTCACATAGATATGGGTTCAAATTCTTATGGTGGAACCTGGGGGACCTCCCCAAGTCTCATCTGGAAAGTGGAAGTGGTAATACTTACCTTCCAGAATCACTGTGGACTAGGACAAAAATAACAACTTGGGCTGTGCTGGTAATGGGCCAAGAAGACAATTGAAAGGAGCCTTCTGACTTCAAACCACTGATGTTAGTGAAACCCCTGCCTAGTGCACAAGATACCTGCCCACATGTTCAAGAGCGTTACTGCAGCACTGCTTGTAATAGCAAAAGCTAGGAACAACTAACTACAATGTCCATCCAAAGGGAAATTAACAAACAAACATGGTCTAGCTATATGGTAGAATTCTACGTATCAGTTAAAAAAAGACCTATAGGTACTACATGAAACCTTCTCTAAGATGCTCTGCTGGGAGGGAAAATCAGGTAGTGGAACTCTTTATATTAAAAGGAAACTGCAAAACTCCTAAAACATGTTACATCCTAATAAAGTACTTAGTCTCTTATACGAATGTGCTTTATTGTGGTTTTTCTTGGTGTGTTTGGGATTTAAGATGAACATATAATGTATTTCATTTCTCTCCCTTTAAAATAAGTGGGAAGTAGATCACTAATTAGTGTTTTCTCACTTATCATCTAATTTTCAGGAACAGATTGCATTAAGCACTTGGTAATGCCTGGATTGCTCTATACATCTGTAAAGACAGAAAAAGCCCATGAAAGGTACGCATTGAACCAATGAATGATGGTTCCCTTTGGAGGATGAAGGGTGATTGGGAAGGGGTAAGTAAATAATTTTGCTTTATTTGTATTGTTTGAATATATTATAATGAGGATGTGCTTGAGTATTAATTAAAAATTAAATAATTTGGAAAAAGGAATAAAACTAAGAAGGACCGCACAGCTGCTCCTTGAAAAAATGAAAATAAACAAAGGGTAGGAGAAGAGGCTGCATGAGGAGCACAGGGAGTAAAGACAGAATCCTGTTGGACTGGAGCTTTGTTTGGAGAGAATCAAACAGATGAAGAAATACTATCAGAAAGTTCAACTATGGGTTTGAGATGTACTTTCCTTTTGATTACCTTTTGGAGAGAATTCAGGAAAATCTGGCTTTACCTTTCTAGAGATAAATAAGTGTGGTTTGTGTGTACATGTGTTGGAACCAATAGTAGCCCAAGTCTACATCATCATAGTTTTAGATCAATGAGGGAAAGTCAACAACAGAGATACTCTCTCTCCACCAAGGATCCATATGTTAAGTCACTGGGAAAACTCTAATTGGTATGATGGTAAAAGTCCTGGATTTGGCCAGAATGATCCTTTGAGGCCAAGATGGCCAAACTTTGTCTCTCATACTTTGGACATATTGTCAGGAGGGACCAGTCACTGGAGAAGGATATCATGTTTGGTAAGGTGGAGGATCAGAGAAGAAAAGGAAGATCCCCAACCGGATGGACTGGCCAAGTGGCAGCATCAGTGGACTCAAGTGTAGCAACAGTAGTAATGTTGGCCCAGGATTGGGCAGTGTTTCATTCTGCTGTGCATAACGTTTCTATGAGTCGGTACTGACTCGATGGCACCTAACAACTAAGTCAGGACTCCTGGTGTGGTGCTGTAGGATAAGCACTGTACTGCTAACCACAAGAAACCACCAGCTGCTCCTCAGCAACCCTATACAGGGTCACTATGAATTGGAACCAAATTGACGACACCAAACAATAAGCAACAGCAACTGGGTCAGAGTGCTCCTTAGAAACAAAGACTTCATTTCATGCATTTCCTTGAAGAAGGACATCCTGTTTGGGAAACAGTCAGGGAAAAAGAGAAAGAGCCTCAATGAGATGGACTGACATGTGACAGCAGATGGGCTCAAGCACAGCGGCGGCTGTGAGGATGGTGTCAGACTGGGCACTGTTTCACTCAGCTATATTATGAGTCAGACTGACTCAACAGCTCCTAACAACAACAACAACAACAACAAGGCTGCTACGTGACCTCAGTAAGCCAATTAAGGGCTAAATAACATTTATTGTATGTTTACTGGTACTTCGTACATGTGATTTAATCTTCACCAAAAGCCTTTGAAGTCGATGCCATTATTAGTCCTATTTTAGAGATATGGACACAGAGGAGTGAAGGTAAGTCATTTGTCAAAATTTATATTCAGGTTTGTTTCCAAAGTTCAAGTTCTTAAAGCTATGGCATGCTATCCTCAACTTAATCACTGACTTTCAGTGTCTTCATCTGTAATATAGGAATATTAAGACTACCTCCTTCAAAGGATGGTATCGATAGTTGGGTGAGCAATGTACTAGAAAATATTAAAAACCATACAAAGAAGTTATTATAATTTTCCTACTGCTTAACATGTACAATTGGGGAAGCTGCTGCCACTGAAAAATGCTTGGTAACTGGGATGAGAGTTCCGAAATATAAGGAATGTCAGAGCTGGAGGGCCTGTAGAGACACCCGATCTGTTTGCTGTCTGTCTGCATCCTTTACTTTGATGGACCACCCTTCATGACTTCATGAGGCCTCACTAAGGCTGTCAATCACAGTGATCAACTCCCCTCACCACGCACTCACACACTGCTAGGAATAGGCATGTGACCGAGCCCTGGAAATTTATGTAACCTCATCTCCATGGTCAGAGTGATTCACTCCGGGAGGAAAAACCCCAAACCCCAAAACAACAAACAAGTCAGCTGTGACTCATGGTAACACCATGTGCTAGAGTATACCTACTCTTTACTGGGAAACTCTCTCTCTATTTGACATTTCAAATCAACAAAATTAGTAAAAAATCCAACTATTTTGAGCACTAATGATGTACATCTGGCAGGAATGAACGCCAAAGTGAGAGGCTGTGATGGTTAAAGTTATGTGTCAACTTGACTGGGCCATGATTCCCAGTGGTTTGGCAATTACGTAATGATGTAATTTGGTACTTATGTAATGATGTACTCATCCTTTATTTTGGATCTGATGTGGTTATCCTCCATTTTCAGATAATACCAGTTTTCGTGTAACGACTTGGTCTTTGGAATGTAAAGTTGTTGATAAATGAAGAGTGATGCAGAGCTGTTTCATGGGATTTTCTTGGGCTATGGGTTAATGTGCTGGACTGCAATGTTAGCTTGAACTGCAAGGTAGGCGGTTCAAGTTCACTAGCTGCTCCTGGGAAACCCTATATAGGATCACTATGGGTCAGAACTGACTAGATGGCACAGCAACAACAAAAGCAACAATCTTTATAGAGTCCTGCTGTGGCACTGTAGGATAAGCACTTGACCACAAGGTCAGTTTGAACCTCAAGGTTGGTGATTCAAACTCACCAGCCACTCCTTGGAAATGCTATACAGGGTCACTATGAGTTGGAAACAACTTAACAACACTTAACAACAGTTGCTGTGAGACTGTGAGATAAAGCACTGGACTGCAAGGTCGGCTTGAACCATAAGACGGGCAGTTCAAACCTACCAGCCACTCCTTGGAAACCCTATCCAGTGTTGCTATCAATCAGAACCAACTCGAGAGCACGCGACAACAACAATCTTTATAGAAGCAGATCAGCTAGTCTTTCTCCTGTGGTGATGCTGGGTGAGTTCCAACTACTAACCTTCATGGTAGGAGTAGAGCACAAACCATCTGCACCCAGGAACCTCAACAGTGCAAGGAGTATCAATCACCCTGATGTTTCCTATGTGGCTCAAACTGTGAAATGGAGACTTGGGTCCACCTGTGGTATACTGAAGTATTCAATATGTATCTTCTAGCCTTAGTCTTTGTGGTTTGCACCAAATGACTCTTATCCTGATGGGTCTGCATAAGAGAAGGTGGGAGAAAATACTGATAATGTGACATGATTCCACTGTGAATATTAACAGAGTTCATTGTCATTATAAACAGTTCAAAGTCTAGCATGAGTCATAAAATGAGTCATCTCAGAAACAGCAGGGAGAAATCTCACTACTATCAAAGAAGAAAAGCCAGGAGTGGAGTGTGTCCTTTGGACCCCGAGATCCCTGCACATTGACCTCCTTGACCTATGACACCAGAGGAGGCAGAGAGCCACTGTAGCAGACAGCAGAACAAAGAGCTAGAGAAATACAGGGCAGTATTTCCTTCTGTTATGCGTAGGGTCATTATGCGATGGGTTGGAACTAACTCAATGGCATCTAACAACAACCACAGGTTTGTTGACCTACAGTGCTAGAACCAGGCTAAGGCTTATGATGGAGTGGCATGTCCTGTCAGCATATATCAGCAGCCCTAAAAGAGCTTTGTAATGTTGGTCAAGGGCCAGAGAGAGAGACCTGCCTGTGGGGACAGCTGAGAAAAGGCTGTCCTGACTGAAAGAAATGTGCCATGAACATTTCTAATCTTGAACTACAAACTATTGACATCATCAATAAACCCCACAAGTGTGAATGTGATGTCTGAGTTCTTTGGGGCCATTGCAATGAATTATTGAACCCAGCTGAGTAGAGAGTGCTGCAGGAGGAATGGTTGTGGCTCATTTTTCACACTACCCTTAGCCATTTTAGAGCTCCCAGGCTCTTTAAGAATGAAACCAACACAAAGAAGCAAAGCCCTAACAACGTTATTTGAGGAGTTCCAACCATTCCTGAAGCTTGGCCCTTGAACTTCACAGTTGCATGAGCCAATAAATCCCATTTGGGGCTAGAAATTGGGTTTCTGTCTCTTGCAAGCAAGGAATTTCTAAATAATAATACTTCAGGAGACTTGCCCCAAATCACTCAGCAAATCAATGGTACAGGTGGGACAGGGACATTGGATTTGATAGCCATTGTCCATTTTAGTAAAATGCACTGCTCTGTCTATAAAGAGACATTCATTTGGTTTTTAATTGAATAGAGTTCTTGATAGTTTTAATAATGTCATAAACCCCGCTGTGCCTGATATTGACAAACCCAGGTGGGCACCGGAGGTACCAGCATGGACTTCTTACCTTCCTCTCCGTTGTCACCCCGCTCCCCATCTTGGCCATCCTGACCATCTTTGCCAGGAAAGCCCATTCTGCCCACCATTCCTGAGGGCCCTGGAGCTCCTGGGGGACCGGGGGGGCCCTGAGGGCCAGGCAGACTGCAGATGAGTTGAGGGGAGCCCTTCTGGAAGGCACTGAGCAGTGGATCAGTAGCACAGGGAAGGGCACAGGCCAAGAGCACCCAGGAGATCATGGTGGCCACCTATGGGAGGTAAGAGAGACAAAAGCAGGTGAGTACAGCCACTGAGCTGGCATTTGGTTAGAGGGGGATCCAGGGGAGGAGGAGGCAGCCAGGACAGACTCAATTATATGTAGTTCTCTCTCTTGCTCTTTCCTGCATCACAGACCAATAGCTGAACCAAGTGTCATATTTTGTGAACATATTTGGATGTGCTAAGCCATGCTACAGGCTTGATCAGTGCCCAGGATACACTTTGAAGGGGACTTGGGGAAAGGGACAGTCATCCCCTTGGTGTGGCTGAAATGGAGGCAGGACCCACTGCTGACTAGGAGAAACTGGGGATGGAGAGAAATGACCCCAATATGCAGCGCAAATGGAAAGTTGCAAGGGCAGGGATGTTTTGAATTGCAGGGGATGGTTTGTGTTGGGCTGCTTCTGGCAGGAGACTTGGGGTAGCATGCTGGAGGGTGAGCAGGGCCGAGGATGCGGTTACATAGTGAGAGTGCATCCCTATCTCAGCAACACTAGCAGCCCTACCAGCTCCTCTTCCAAGTGCTTCCTGGAGAAAGGCACGGGCTAAGAGCTTCCATACATTACTTATTCCTCACCACACCCTTATGGAATAGAGGCAAGTGGGAAACGGAGGCTCAGGGAAGTGAAGTAGCCTGCCCATGTCGTGCAATTAGCAGGGAGCAGGGCTGGGTTGTCAATAGGTAGCCCAGGTCCACTGACTGTGCCTTCCTGACCCAGGCATGCTCACACCAGAGACAAGAGTGTCATGTTCTCAGAGATGATCTACTCTCAGCCCCTCACTGTGCAGATGCAGAAACCAAGGTACAGAAATCAGCAACTTGCCCAGGTTTTCCCCACAAATGGGCTCAGTCACTTTGCGATCTACAGCTTCTCTCTCTCCCAAGAGTTCTGGGGGTGAACTCAGAAGTGGTAACGTGCTATATGACCTTTGTTGTTGTTAAGTGCCATCAAGTCGGTTCTGACTCATACTGACCCTGTATACGGTTTCCAAAGAGCAGTAGTTGAGTTCGAACTGCTGACCTCGTAGTTCAAACCGACTTTGCGGTCCAGTGCTTCATCCTACAGTGCCACACCAGAACTCCTATGTGAACTTAAGCAAGTCCTTTTCCTTTGCTAGGCCTCGGTTTCCTCACCTGAACAATGAGAGGTTGGACTAGATCCCAAACAAGCCAAACCAGTTGCCAGGCAGTCAATTCCCACTCACGGCGACACCCCCTGTGTCAGAATAGAACTGTACTCCACAGCGTTTCCAATGGCTATGATATTTCACAAGTAGAGCTCCAAACCTTTCTTCCAAGGTACTTAAGCACTCAGCTGACAAGAAAAAAGTGAGAGTTTTGAATTTACCAGGCACTCTGAAGGAGAACGACCTGGCAGCAATGTACTTCCATACAGATTTACAGCTTTGGAAACCTGTGGGGTAGGGCTACTGTATCCTGTGAGGTGGATCTGAGTTAGAATCCAACTCGGTAGGATACAACACCACCTTATAATAATAACAAAGTTATTTTCTTTTTAATTTCCCTCAATCCTAGTTAAGTCTAGAAAAATGTCTTAGCCTTGTTGTTAGGTGCCATCAAGTTGGTACCGACTCAAAGTGACCTTATGCACAGCAGAACGGGTGATATTTTATATCTGAAACCTCTATATCCCTTTTCTAAGATTCCTTTTTAACAAAGAGCAGCTTCATTTGAAGCAGTATATACCCATTCTTCTTTTCTCTCTTAAGAAATTTTTTCCTGCTCTAAGGTTAGAAAGATATTCTTCCATATTTTGTTTTCAGTTCCCATTTCGTTCACCTGTTCTTAACCCTGGGCAGGCTCCCACAAATACACACGGAGTTCCCATAAAACCTCCAGACTGCCACAAGGAGTGGGGTCCCTGAAGCAGAGCCTGTCCTTGGATGCAAGGGAGAGCTATGGCATCATTTAAAGAGAAAGACTGAACAGAAATAGAAGCTAGCTTTGGAGAGGTTGCAAAGAATTACTAAATGGGTGAGTGTCAAACCAAAACACCCAAACCGACTCTGTGCAGAGTAGAACTTGCCCATATAGTCTTCAAGACTATGACCTTTCGATGTAGATTGTTGTTGCTTTTGTTAAGTACCGTCAAGTCAGTTCTGACTCATAGTGACCCTGTATAGAACATCTGAGGAGAGACTGGTGGGTTTGAACCACCGACCTTAGGTTAGCAATCAGGAGTAAATTGCCAGGCCTTTATTCTGAGGTATCTCTGGGAGGGTTCAGACCACCAGTCTTTCAGTCTAGTAGTCAAGGGCTTAACTGTTTGGGACATTCAGGGACTCCTGTTGTTGTTGTTGTTGTTAAGTGCCGTAGAGTCAATTCCTACCCACAGCGACCCTGTATAGGGTTTCCAAGGAGCAGCTGGTGAGCCTGAACCATCAACCTTGCAGTTCAAACAACTTTGCAGTCTGACGCATTAGCCCACAGTGCCACACCAGGACTCCCAGGGACTCCTGTTGTTGTTGTTGTTATACGCCATAGAGTCGGTTCTGACTCATAATGACGGTTTCTGAGGCTATAAATCTTTACGGGAGCAGAAAGCCTCATCTTTCTCCCAAGGAACAGCTGGTAGTTTTGAACAACTGACCCTGAGATTAGCAGCCCAATTCGTGATCACTACACTACCCAGGGACTCCTTGTGTTGTTGTTGTTAAGTGCTGTCGAGTCGATTCCAACCCATAGTGACCCTGTACAGGGTTTCCAAGGCTGTAAATCTTTATGGGAGCAGAAAGCCTCATCTTTCTCCCGCGGAACAGCTGGTAGTTTCAAACTGCTGACCTTAAGGTTTGCAGCCCAATTTGTAACCACTATGCTACCAAAACTCCTCATCCAGGGACTCCTAGTGGGGTTAAAATAGAACTTTCCACCTGCGCTCCAAGACATGTAAAATGTTGCCTTATCCTGCCAAATTGAGAGCAGTTTTCAAGGGAAAAGCTCAAGAGCCCATGACTCTTGGCACACTCCTCAGATTAAGAATTTTTTAAATGTGGCCCATGTCTTTGGTGGGAAGAAGGGGTATGTCTGAGCCTGCCTGGGACAGCTAGAGGGTATGTGACACAGGAGTGACTTCTAGCCTTCCAAGGTAGATAGAAGATAAAAGACCTCCTGCGTTACAAGCCAGCTAAGGCCAGAAGGATCCTGCCAGAAGTGAAGAGGAACGCCAGTAAGTGTAACCGACTCAGCGGTATCTAACAACTGCAATCTTTATGGAAGTAGATTGCCACATCTTTCTCCCATGAAGTGGCTAGTGGGTTTGAACCACCCACCTAAAGGTTAGCAGCCCAATTCTTAACCCACTGCATCCTCAGGGCGCCTATGAATCTCCCTGTACTTCCCACATTGATAAGAGTCTTCAAGAATAGGATGGGCACTGCTGACTTGTGCACTGCTGCAAAACACCTGGGCCCCAGACATGGAATTCCAAGTTCTCCCAGGTTTGAGAAATGGTTTAGAAAGTTGCAATCTGTAAATGTTTTGGACTGAGGAGAGGAGGAAGGAAGAGGGTGGGAACAAGTCTCCAGTCTTAAATGAATCCTGAGAACAGCTAGAAGACAGACATGGGCGGGAGAGAGGGGAACCATCTGTTTCCATTTACCTCTCTCCCCAGTCTTCCAACTTCCACGCCCAGCCCTAAGGCCTCAGAAGAGAGGGGAGGCTGGCTATCAAGCCCCTGTCTGCCCTGCACCAGCCTCTTTGCACAGAGGGGAACCTTCTCAGTGACAGCAGGTCCCAAGTTCTGAAGTGGATGAGGGGGGCTCTGAAACATGCAGGGAGGAAAGGATTTCTCCAAGCTGGAGCCGGAAGATCACAGCAGCCCCAAAGAAGTCCTGGCAGCTGGAGGCAGGAAATATTTTGGAAATAAAGGCAGGGAGACTAGGTTTGGGTTCCAAACCTAGAGGGAAAGTCTCTTTGCCTCCAGGGTACCTCCAAAAAAAAGAAAAGCAAAACAAGGCTCCAAATAGCCCTCCTCCCTGCTTGTCCGACCTCCAGGGTGGGGAAACAATGAGATGATTGGAGGAACTCTGACCAGTTAACTTTTTTAGTGCCTTTTAAATAAAGGGGCTCTGGTAGCGCAGTGGTTACTAATCGGGCTGCTAACCTCAGGGTTAGCAGTTCGAAACTACCAGCTGTTCCGCGGGAGAAAGGTGAGGCTTTCTGCTCCCATAAAGATTTACAGCCTCAGAAACCCTGTACAGGGTTGCTATTGAGTTGGAACCGGCATATAACAACAACAAATAAGTTTAGAATCACAAACGTGGGAGGGACCCAAGAAACCATGGAATCCAAGCCCTTCTGTTGTAGATGGGGAAACTGAGGCAGAGGAAAATGGACTTTACTGAACAACAGCATACCAGCTACTGTGTGGAGCACTTTCCCTGGATTATTTCATTTGAAGTTTATAATAAGCCCTACATAGGATGTACACTGATTGTCCTCACATTTTTGATGAAGAAACAGAGGTTCCAAGAAGACAAACGACTTACCGAAAGGCACATTATAGATGAGCAATAGAAACACTGAACCAGGTCTGAGGGTCTGCGAAGACTACAGGTTAGTGCATGATCCTTGCACCTGCGATTTCTTTGTAACTTTTTATTGTGAATTGGGTGAAGGTTTACAGAGCAGATCAGTTTTCTATTCAACAATTCATCCACGGTTTGTTTCCCCCTGCATTGCTTACAATCCCCACAATACAGCATTACTTAGCCTACTTCCTTCTCCTTTCTCTAAGTCTTCTGAACTTGGTCCTTGGACAAATGCTGCCCTTTTAATCTCAAATAGTTGATTTTTCTAAAGTGTGTGTAACTCCCTAGTGTTCTTGTTTTATGGAATGGAAGAGGAAGCTGAAGCTCAGGAAGGTTAAGCAATTTGCCCATGTTTATACAATTAGTGGCAGAAGTTATATTTGAACTTGGGTTTGGCTGATGTTAGGGCTCAAATGCTTTCCATTATGTCAGTGTTTCC